AATACAGCGCGGTGCTGTTATTCCGAGTCACTGACGCTTACGCAGGCGTGAAATTTGAAGCGCTATCAGAGGCAGCTAGCCATTACCGCCTACGCTCTCCAGGAGCGCGAAATTCAAAACGCTGCCAACAGCCGTTGCAGCTTAGCCACAATTGCTAGCCCAGAGAGAGAGCAGAGAGGTTCTGTGGAGCCTCTCCAGAGCTGTAGTCACTAGCCTGACAAGAGCACAAAGTGCCATTTTGTTGTCCCAGAGAGATTTCACAACAGCATAACTTGCAGAAGTCCTCATCATGAACTCCAATCCAGCCTTCCCACCGTTCAAGCCGGATGAAGAAAAGTGGGAGTCATACAAGAATCGTTTTAACCACTACATCGATGCTATTGGTCTGGCTGATGCTGGGGAGCACAGAAAAAAGTCATTCTTCCTCAGTTATTGCGGAGCCATCGTTTTTGATACCGCCACAGCACTCGTTGCTCCACGTGAGTTAAAGAATGTCCCCTGGGCAGAATTGCTAGAGATTCTCACCAATCATTACTCCCCCAGACCATCACAGATCGCGAGGCGTTTCACCTTCCGGATGAGGAAGCAAGCGGAAAAGGAAACCGTCAACCAATATATGGCCGCCTTGAGGACTGCAGCTCTCCACTGCGGGTTCGGGAACTATCTAGATGACATGCTCCTCGACCAGCTCGTCTGCGGGGTCAAAGACCTTCACCTCCAAAGGCGACTACTCGCCAGGAAGGACCTCAACCTCTCCCAGGCCGTCGAGGAAGCCTTGGCAGCAGAACTGGCAACCCAGTCAGCCACCGAAATTCAAGGTCCCGTTCCCAAACAAAGCTGCGCCACCGTTCATTCAGAAGAGGTAGTCAACGAAGATGATCCCAACGATCAAACAGACATCCACCGCCTCACCCATGCTAAACAACCACAGGCAGGAGCCAGGCAAGAAACCAACAGCGCACCCAAACACCTCATCCTGTGCCTATCCTGTGGCGGACCTCACTCGAGAGCTTCGTGCAAATTCAAGGGTGCCATCTGTAACAATTGCCACAAAAAAGGCCACATCGCCAGAGTCTGCCAGGCCGCGCACAACTCAGCACAAAAGGTTCCTTCCTTTTCCCATTCTGGGCCCCAAAGGCAAGTACTAAATTGTCACACTTGCTACCATGCTAACCACACCTGTCACTCTATTAGTAAAATAACACTCTCCATTTTATTAGAAGGTAAACCTTGTCGTATGGAGGTTGACACGGGATCAGTGCTCTCAATCATCTCTTGGAGCACCCTCAAGAAAATCCAGCCCAGACTATCCAGAAACCAGCTCCAGAAGTGCCAGATCACCTTGAGGGATTATCAGGGAAAGGACATTCCAGTACTCGGCAAAGGCAAGTTCCTTGTTAATTTTAAAGCTTTCAAAGGCAAGTTCCTTGTTAATTTTAAAGCTTTCAAAGGCCACCTGCCTCTAGTGGTAGTTAACGGCAACCTCCCTAGTCTTCTGGGGCTTGATTGGTTCCCCTACCTCGGCCTAGGGTTAACAGGAGTCCATGCTGTCTCAGCTTCTGACACTGACTCCTTATTCACTGACTACTCAGACGTATTCAGCGATGAGTTAGGGTGTTATAATGGTACCCCCATCTCATTTGCAGTTGACCCCCAAGCGGTTCCAGTCCGGCTGAAACCGCGTAGAGTCCCATTCGCCATTCGGCCTAAACTGGATGCAGAGCTCGATAAATTATTAAAGCAAGGGGTCATTGAGCCGACAGACTTCGCCAAATGGGAGACGCCAATTGTCACACCCCTTAAAAAGGATGGCAGCCTGAGAATTTGTTCAGATTACAAAACAACAATTAACCGCTTTCTACAAGTTAGCGCGTACCCAGTCCCGGTCATTCAACATTTATTGCATACCTTTGAGCCTGGCAACATTTTTGCCAAATTGGACATGTCACAAGCGTATCAACAGTTCCCTGTTGACAACCAAACAGCCGAACTGCAGACCATTGTGACCCACAGGGGTGCCTTCCGGTGCAAGCGTCTCCAGTTTGGCGTAAGTGTTGCCCCGGGCATCTTCCAATCCCTCATGGAGCGTATACTACAGGGCCTCCCTGGCGTAGTGCCCTACTTCGACGACATCTTGGTCTCGGCCAGGGACAGGCCCCAACTCTTCCAGAGAGTCAAAGCAGTGTTAGACAGGTTCAGACAGCATGGCCTCAAATTAAAAAGGGAGAAATGTGCCATTGCCACTAGACAGGTGGACTTTCTGGGCTATAGAATTGACGCCTCAGGCATTCACCCCCTAGAATCCAAGGTCAAGGCAATTCATGAGGCACCCACGCCAACCACTAAAGCCGAGCAACAAGCCTTTTTGGGATTATTGAACTTTTATGCATCATTTCTACCTCACAAAGCATCAGTAGCAGAGCCTTTACACAGGCTCTTAGGTAAAAAATCACCTTGGCACTGGGGACACAAGGAAGACACCGCTTTTCGCGCAGTCAAATCACTGCTCACATCAGACGCGGTCCTTATTCAATTTGACCCACATCTTCCATTGGTACTAGCCGCGGATGCATCCCCTTTTGGGATTGGCGCCGTATTAAGCCATAGACTACCCAACGGCTCCAAGGCACCAATCGCTTTCTTTTCCAGAACGCTCTCAGCGACAGAGTGTAACTATAGTCAAATCGACAAGGAGGCTTTAGCCGCAGTGGCCGCGGTTAAGAAATTTCATGAATTCCTGTTTGGCCACAACTTCAAGCTAATCACGGACCACAAGCCTCTCCTGGGTCTTCTTTCTGGAGACAAGCAGACTCCCCAAGTGTTGTCTCCCAGAATGACGAGGTGGACCTTGTTCCTGGCGGCTTATTCGTACAAGCTCATCCACCGCCCAGGAAAAACATTAAGCCACGCAGACGCCCTCAGCCGCTGCCCCCTGCCAGCTCCAGCTGAAGACCTGGCCCCGGTCCATGCAATCTTCGATGTCACCGAGCTCGACCTTCCTGTCACCGCCCTCGACATCGCCACCAAATCCAAGACGGACAAAACCATCGCCCAGGTACTGGACTGGGTGAGGAGGGGGTGGCCGGGCTCTAACCTCGCAGCCGAATTCACACCTTTTAAGACCCGTCAACAGGAACTGTCTAGCATACAGGGCTGCCTGTTGTGGGGCACCCGGGTTGTCATTCCGGCCTCAATTCGCACACCAGTCTTAGAGGCACTACACGAGGGCCACCCGGGCATCGTCCGGATGAAGGCGTTGGCTCGGAGCTACGTCTGGTGGCCTGGCTTGGACGACGACATCGTCAAGTGGGTAAGCTCATGCCAACCCTGTCAGGAATCCAGACCATCCCCTCCAGTCACCACCCCCACAAAGTGGGAGAGCGCCAACGCGCCTTGGTCAAGGCTACACATTGACTTAGCGGGTCCAATACACGGCAAAACCTTCTTGGTGGTCGTAGATTCATACTCTAAATGGATCGATGTGGCCCAACTATCCACGACCACCACGCAAGCAGTTACCAAGGCTCTGACCCGCCTATTCGTAACACACGGGCTACCAGATACCATAGTTTCGGATAATGGCCCCCAGTTTGCCTCAACAGAATTTAGCCGTTTTGCCACAAATCTTGGCATCCGACACATCTTCACGGCCCCCTTCCATCCTGCCAGCAACGGACTGGCGGAGAGAGCCGTTAGATCCACAAAAGAAGCGTTAGCCAGATTCAGCAAAGAAGATTGGCATCACAGACTCGCCCGCTTCTTGCTAAGCCAACACTCAACCCCTTGCATGGTCACCAACAAATCCCCTGCTGAACTTCTGATGGGTAGACGCCTAAGAACTGTGTTGGATAGGCTCCACCCTCACTATTGCCCTGACACCCCTCTCGCTTCTATGACGGGGGTCAGAGATTTTGTCTTGCAGGAACATGTCTTTGCAAGGAACTATGTCGGAGACCCACTGTGGATTCCAGGAGTGATAGTAGCCATCACCGGTCCCAGGTCATACCGAGTCCAGCTGGAAGACGGCCGCATCTGGAGAAGACACCTGGACCAGCTAAGGAAGCAACAGGGTACCTTCGCCAGTGCCGGATCGTGGGCTCAGGTCGACCCCCAGGTGCCACACCAAACTCTCATCGAAGACCATGCCAGAATCTCTTCGCCACCACCACCCGGACCAAGGGAGCAGGCAGTAGACCGGGACTGCCCGATGGGTCCGCCACCTGAACCAGCAGACGGGGCCACGACATCACCGACCAGAAGCACTACACCGGTACCTGCGCAAACCTCAGAGCGAGGCTGCACCCCATCACCAACCCCACCGGGTTCCTTGAACTCTGAGACACTAGGTAACTCACTGGAGTTACGACGCTCGGGGCGCCAGCACAGACCGCCCGCTTATTTAAATGACTATGCGTGTTCGCATCTGGGGGGAAGGGGTGTTATGTCCCTGGAACTTGCCAAAGTCCCCACCCAGGTCCGTTCATGCTGCGGGGGCGTTTGCTGCCCCTCATTGGCTGGCCTCCCTCGACGGCCGGCTATAAAAGCCAGCTGCAGGGTCCGGCCAGCCGCTGATCGCTGTGAGCCTGCTCCAGGCAGGGCTAACATGTTCAGTCCTTTATTGTTTCAATAAAGTCTTGTTGCATCCATGCCCTGGTCTAGCCTCTCATTGCTCAACTACAACAATAACTCTATTACTGGACTAAACATTGAACAAACACCTTCCCTTTTGTTATAATGAAAAGGAACAAAACCAAAACAAAACAAAATGCCAGGAAGAAAATGGAGTGTCGCAATTATTTCCTTGTGTTTATATATTCCCTGTTATTATACGCAGAAAATAGTCAGAACTGCGAAAATCCAAACGTAGCTTTCTGCCACTTGAGCACTCTTCAAATATGTCAGCACAAATGGAGGCTACTGTTCTGAAGATAGTTTGAATAATATATTTTGGGATTAACTCTAAAAATACACACTGACATAGAAAATATGTGTATACTTACAGAGACTGAAGAGAGTGTAGGTTCTGAAGTGCTTCAGAAGGAACTTGTCTTAACAGGTTATTCTGAAGCATTCTATATTAGTACATAAAATAGGTAAACAAAAAATAGTTAATTTTGCTGTCTTATCTAACTACAAATATAAATTACATTAATCACTCCACAGAAAAATCTTGCTAATTACTGCTTTCCAAAACCTGAATTTCAAGTACAATAACTGTTTTGTTGATATTACAAAAGTCTCAATGTAATGTGAACTTTATTCAAGGGTTATAATATTAGAAACTTGATTTTAACTTTCCACTGTCATGAAACTGTTTAAAAAAACTGAACCTGCTTTACCCCTCAGTTTAATCTATATTACAAAGCTGTGTAGAGGCCCTCAACATTTTGGCTACCAGGGGCTGGTTCCTTGGAAAGAGGTTTTTCCCTGGACTGGAGGAGACATGATTTTGTCTGATGCCTACATCCAATTGATGGGGCTTCGCTTGTTTGTGTGGACCAGTTTCTGGCATGCTGTGGACCAGTGTCGGTCCACAGACTGGGGTTGGGGACCCTTATGTAAGAGAGTTAAATTAGGTAGCTTTCCATTAGCTGAGTATGCTGGGTATATAGCAAAACTGTAATTACTGAGGAACTTGATGAATATTACTTAGAGCTGAATTGATTAGCTGCATATTTGGCCTAGCTTTTTGCTCATCTAGTTTCTCACTGTAGAATTTACTTAGGTAATAGAGTTGATGGTCAAATGAAGTGATCAATAAAAATATTATATTGCTGACCAGGAAAACTGAGGCAGGCTACAATTTGCATTTGCTCAGCTAGAAAACAGAACCTAGTTTTTTTAAACATTTTTTTTATTTTAGTCAAAAGATTAGAATAAAAAATCCAAAAGAAAAAAAAAAGTAGACAAAAAATTGCATCCTGATTGTTATTTAGCAAGAAAATTGAATATTGGTCTCTTCAAAGATCTGCTATGATAGATTTGTGAGATACATCTGAATGCTGCTATTGATATAGCATTTACCAAATATCAAATTCCTTATCTAATGCAATTTATGGGATAATCTTTAGTAATGCAAGATGCTTGTAAATGCTAGGTCTATATAACTATTATATATACTATATAACATATATAACTATAATGACGTGGGAAAATACCCGAACAAAGCTGAATACCATATATATATATATATATATATATATATATATATATTTGTAGAATTTCATGGGTACAGGTATGTAGGTCTAGGTGTGTTCGGGTCTTTTTCCGTGTAAGACTAAGAGTATCTTGGCGATGTTTCGGCGAGGTCCCACTCGCCATCCTCAGGCTGGTGCTTTCGGCTTCGTGCCAGTGCTAGCAGATTAACACTATATATATAGTGTTAATTTAGGGTCATAAATTAAACTATGACAATCCTAGGAAAGTAAAAAAAAAATCTATAGCTTTAAGCAAAAATAACAATATTTTTTCTAGACTGAGTGTATCTATAAAGACAAAAAAGTTATTAGCTACAGTCTAGTTACTATGCTATAGTAATGAATATGATGATTTTCTATTTTCCTTATTAAAAATGAAACAGGAAATAAAAATATTTTCATCAGCAAAATTATCAATAGAATGTTATTTTGGAACTAAAACATATCCTTTGTTAAAAGTTAAAGAAGCAACCATTTATATAAAATCAGATTTCCTCTGATATTGTTCAAAGATGCTAATGTCTTGAGTAAATTGATTTTGGAAAATTCTTTAAGAAAGTAAGGACATCTTTTATTATAAAGACCTTATCAAAGTAATATTTTAACTTTAAATACAGTGTGCTTTAATTAACATAAATCCCCAGATTTTAATGCATAGCCTAAAACGTATAAAACAATACTATAATTTACTTACAATACTTTAAGTCTAAAGAGTCCAGCAAATGCTCCTTTGGGAATATATGTCAAGCTATTTCCTGCCAGACGCCTATAGGGTTAAAAGATAAAAGATAAACAGATTTCATCTCATGTGGAATTAATTTGGATGTTAAAATGTTTAAGACAGCAGTGTTGGAACCACCAGAGAGCCAGAAGTAGTTGTTTAAGAGCTCTGTTTTGTCATAATTAATGTTCTGTGCAAAACATCCTGTAACTATACAGACCATTTACAAGCAGCTGGGCAAATGTAGTTTGCCTCAATAAATCTAGTTTATGTTACATGTGTAATTGTTCAATCTGTTCTGCTTCAGTAGCAAATAATTCAACATTGTCGACTGTGGATGATCCACTAGTTGTATATTATTATGATAACTTTATAGTTCTTCCACAAGACACAAACATAGTCAGAGGAAGCACTTTTTCTGAAGTAGAAACTTCATTAGCTTTGAATTTACATAAGCAAATGAGCTCCAATCAATATGTAAACACTTCCTTTCTAACAGACAGAAAGAGATAAAATTAAAAATAATCTCTTTTTAAAACTTCACAATCATTCTTACATTGTCTTTTTTATATAAACAACATAGTTTTGGATTTGGATTGCCATTCCTCTTACAGTTTTTCCTGCTTAATTCCCAAGTTGTTTCGTTTGCTAGAAAATAGAAGTGTGTCTGGTTTACAGCCTGCCCTGTTGGCCTGGCCTATGATCTTCAATTGATGTAACATTAATCAAGTTATCTCATTGGCTTATCTATGTCAAAATGAGAAAGCCTTTATATTCTTCATGTCTACTCTTCAGAACTTTTTGCACCCATAAGAATCTTAAACAACAGCAACAACATTTTGGATGCACTGGAATTTATGCTAGAATGTTTTCAAATTTCTTGGAATAAACTTGATGTCTTAGCCCTTGAATAGTTGACTGTGATTTTACAATCCATAGATTGCCATAGTTGTTATAAGAATAATAGCAAGAATCTCTAGCCTGAAGAATTTTGAGATGCATTCACTTAAAAGCCATATTATCAGGAGCGATGGGACAGGATCCCAGCATTTATTAGTTAATTTTGTATACTGTTAGTTGTCAAATAATATGTATTCACATACTTTTCAAGTATAATGAGAAACATAATGGCCAACCATGATTGGGCTTACAAGTTCCATGAAGCCACAATTAGCTTCAAATATGCTTTGTTGATTAACTAGATGGGTTCTCACAATCCAAAAAGCCATAAGCAATTCTTTAGAAAACAATGAATCATGCAAAACCAAATCACATTGAACTATACCTTTAAATTTCTCTATTGATTATTCAGTAAATGTATTGTACAAATATAATTTTTCTTTATTAGATTTATACCCATTTTTTGTTTGTTTCAGAGGTCAAGACAAATTACATGAGATCTCCCTTCATCTGATCCCAACAACTCTGTGAGATAAGATAGGCTAATAAGAATGGTTGGCTCATAAATTTCCCATTATGTTTTCATGTTAAACAGGCATATAGAACTCCTCTGGCTTTGCCCAACACTGGAATAAAATCATTTTAATTATGTATTGATCTGGTTTCACTTTGATAGTGTTTTTATTTTATTCTGTTCTATTTTAAATTTATATGGTTCCAAATATAAAAGTTTGAAGTTCAATCAGTTTCTTAAAAAAGGCATACATTATGCTGAACATCCATGCTTTCATTTCTGTACCCATACACATCTTTCAATGGATTATTTACAATATAGTTTTATTTACTTGTTGAGTTCATTATTATTTATTATATAGTAGGTGTTCAGAATCTGTTACATTTTCTTGAATAAAATTTCATTAACTTTTTAATGTTTTAAACAATGATATAGTGCCTTTATTTGCATTATCAAGTCTGACTTATATTTACAAGGTATTACTGCCTGCTTGGGACAGACATGTCTTACAGATAAATAAAAGTGCACTTTAAAATATAACTAAATATTTTGTACTATATACATGCTTTGTAAAACAATATAAAACAATTCATCACTACAGAGAGAACTATACAGTATTTTTAGAATATATCATCAAAAGCTGGTATCTGCATTAATACCATGTCATCCAGGAATCTGTTTTCATTGTGATCAGTTTTAGAATTTTCAATAAAGAGCATATTGCTGGAAAATTTATTGTTATTTTTTAAATTTAGTTCTATAATATATCATCTTTCCACTTGACAAAGAATCCCATTTATCGTGCATTTTATTTATTTCTCACCTTCATTATTTTTATAGATAACTCAAGGCGGGAAATATATTTAATACTCATTTCTCCTACTATTTTTCCCACAACATACAACCAGTGAGAGAGTGACTGTCCCAGCTGGCTTTCATGCCTAAAGTGGGATTCATAAGTTCCTACTTTCTAGCCTGATGACTTACCATATTATTTTTTTATAAATTTCTGCATATTAATTGAATCATGTTGAAATGAGAATAATTGCTTTTAATTCATCGTCACTTTTTCCAAGCTCAAAATTGAACTGGCACCTGTCTGATCAAATGACATTAACTAATCTTAAAAGCTGAGCTCCTTTCTTCTCCACTATCTCTGCACTGTATCAAAAGAAACCTTGCCTTTCTTTTTCTTTTGCACTGCTGGAGTTTGTGGTAATCCATTCTTCTGTTGGTGGGAATTCTTACCTGTCCAGGCTATTAAGATCAAGCAACCCATTCATTTTAAAGCAGTCACTGAAAACATTACAGCAGCCTGGAACTTTTCATCCCCATTAATCCTTGTCAGAAAGAAGGGAGACTACTTCTCATTTTCAGCTTTGCTCTTTTATTCTGGGCTGCTGTTCTGTGCACCAAATAGGGCTTACAAAGATAAATCTGTAAAACTTCCAAACAGCCTGGATCAATCCCAGATATATTTTAATGTTGAATTCCTGGAAGCCGTCTGCATGGTTTAGGGCAGGGTCTTTTTTCTTCTCCGACACTCTCACCAAATAGTAGAATATCATGGTTACAGATATGGGACAGCACTTGCAATTACAATCTTATACTATATGTTATCATTACAGACTAAGATACCCTTAAATGCAATATAGTGAATATGGCAAGACAGTTGGAACCAGCCTTTCTTCCACAGTGATACATTTTATCCATTTTAAATGTGGCAGTATATGAAATCACAATTAAATGAAAAGAGTAATATTTATTTTTTAAATTTTCAGTTTTTATAAAGCAGCATTTTTCTTTATTCGGAAATTGTAAATGTCTTTTTTTACTTAACCTAGTACTTTCCTACCAAATGTTGTATAATGTTATAAAGTTTTTTCTCAGTGATGGTCAAAGAAATGTTAAAAAGCACACAAGTTCTTCGTCCCACTTTTTTATGGCATGAAACTTAGTTATATTGATTACATTTTAAGGAACATTTGTCACTTACTCTGCACAATGGTTGTTATCTGAAACCAGCTGCCAAATAATTCTTTTGGAACAGGGAAGGAAAGAAAGAACAAATCTCTCCTCAAGTGAATTTATCTTTGCATTATTCTACTAATAGCACCTGTTTTAGTTATTGAATAATAGCAGTACACAAAAAACTGCTTGGAGGTTTGCCCATTCTGCTTTTGTTTGAGATGATGATTTTTCAGCCTTAGAAAAGAAATCAGATACGTTTCTCTCAACAGTGCCATGACTAGCTCCAATAACATTGCTGGCTTTCTTTTTCAGAATTGTAGAAACAATCATGCCTGCAAGTTCTACAGTACATGGTGTTCATATGCAGTTGTAGGAGAGTGACTGGCAAGACTCTGCAGAATAATAGAATACACTGGGTTGAGATCCCTAAGGTTGCAGCAAATGGCTAGATTCTACACAGGGATGTTCCTAAGTGTTCATAGAAGACAGTGAAAGTGTTGATGTGTTTTAAAGATAAAAATTTTATTATAATAGAATTGGGTGCCTATCTAATACTAGCTGCTCAAGCCTCATTTGGAGGAAAATACAAAACAAAGCACCTAAAACAAGGGACGCTAATTCCAATAGCACTCTACTCTTAAGTGAATAAAAATTAATTTTGGCATTTTAAAAGGGAAATGAGAATATGATACATTTTTTCTTGTAAACAGGATTATATTTTTTAAATTATAGATGGTTTTTTTGTGACTCATCAGTAATTAGGAATCACAGGCTATAGATAGCTAACATCATGAAGACATATGAGCTCAGGTTATTTATATATTTATATTTTTTTATTTATAGCCCAAGACCAAGTCACAAAAATTAAAATACTCTTAACACATACATATCTAGCAACACACACACACACACACACACACACACACACACACACACACACACACACATTTAGGGAAGAAACTTTGTAAAATAAACAACTCATTGAAGACATCAAACGATTTCTATTAACTAAGGCTATAAATAAAATTTGCTACTGCCTTCAAAACATCCTGATATTGATCATGTAATAAGAATACCTCAATCTTCTTACTATGGGATTTATCAGATTTCAAATCTGGTATATGACTGATCACCTTAAAATGATGTATGAAACAAACTCAATCTCTGTATTTGAGCAATACACACTGGATCTTCATATGGAAGTTTGGCATATTGACCAGCTGTCACCTAATAGGGACACATCTTTATGGGCTATGAAGATCCTTCTATGTAGGGCATATAGAATCTTACAGAAGTAATTGGTGACTATCCAAGGGTAGAGTAAATTTTGTAAGAGAGATGAGAAATTTGGCTCTGTTTACTGAATACTTGTGATACCTCATTTTCAAATTCCTAATTTCATGTTTGATTACTACAACCAAATTTTATGTTTGTTGAATGTTTTCCATCATTCCACTTGTGATGCTGTGTTTGATTAACTTGATTTTGGAGCATTTTTTTTTCATTTAAGTGAGCAAATCACTGAATGAGAAACCTAAGCTACACGGGGTGCTATGATGAATAGTTAGCCTTGAGGGATGCTGAAAGTTCAAGAGTAAGGAAACAGTAATTAAAAGTGATTACAAGATGACTTAGTAGTCTGAAATATGAATGCAAGTGTCCTTGACAGTCAGTGGGTTTTGGTTTTGATTATAACTTTACTTGCCATTTTAATAAACATGAGCCAGCATTCAAACTTTTAATATCCTGCTGCTTAAGTACATCCAAATAAAAACTAAGTTTTTTTAAACAACCGTTAACAAAATTAATTTGTGGAGCTCTGTCTTCACTTTAAAAAGTTGCAGCCTCATGGTAACATTTTACCCAGCATGGATAGGAGGGAGGGGTAAGTGGATTTTAACTAAATGTTCCCGTATGTGTCAAAACTCACAGCTTTTTCATGTCATGTTAACTGATATTCAAAGTAAGTAGAAGAGAAAATCCCAGAAATATATTTAATTTTCATCTATGCCAGTTAAGGATACAGTGATACATACAGCTCTTCGAGGAAGCGGAATTTATGCAGAGAGTTCAAGGGCAGTTTAGAGATATTATTCATACTGAGGTCTCTGTAAAGGAAAAATAAAAAAGACTGAAATATAACTGCAATGTATAGCTGATAAATAATACATCTTAAGGAATTTGTAAATATCAACAAATACAAATATTTCTTGTCCCAGAGCCTATATTATTAAGTTGTTATATAACTTCTGCTGTTAACAACATAAACAAAATATATTTTGGTTTACAGCCCTGTGTGCCAAAATGTTAAAAGATATCTTGTATAATTCTGTACTATTAAAATTATTTTAATATTTACTTACATTATTACCATGTTATGTATTGAATGAGTGTTTTTTTAATTCTGTATACAAGCTTAGAATAAATATATCAGAGATTTTAAATATAATATATACTTTTTAAAAATACCAGGGTTTATGGCAGTATCTTTGGGCAGGGAAGAAATAATCTAAAATGTACTGCTTAAAAAGGACTTTCATATTGCTGAAAAACAAAATAGACACTAGGATAAAGTTGAATTTAATGGAGTATCCTTGAAAAGTCATTATTGGTTAACATATTAGTAGTATATAAAATGAGGTAATTGTTCTAATGAATCGATTAGGAAAATATTAGGACACTTTATTTTTGGTGATGAAATTCTAAAGATTAGTTCTATATTTGGGCTTCAAAGCTTGGCAGGTTTGAATTTTATCAGTCATTATATCCTATTAGATTGAAAATTACATTCTAGAATTTCATATAGTAGCATTTGTGTCCTCATGATGTTTCATCATTATAAGAAATCACCAGCGACATTAGTTGGATGCAACATTGGGACAACATTGTTACATACTGACAATAGGAGTTCTATTGCTCATTGTCATCAGAATTAAATACGATCTGTAGTTGCTGGATCGATACATAAAATACACTGTTGAATTAGGGCAATAAACATAGAATAAATCTAGACAAAATGGAAGTCCTTGGATGTGTAGTTTTCAGAAGTAGGCAACGTATTCTAAAGATGTTGCATGTTTCCTAAAATATGAGACTCATTGCTCAAAGGCAAGATGGCTTCAGAAGCACAAACTGCCTTTGTTCTGGTACTAAATACATTGGCTATGTATAAACCAACCAAACTAATACATTGACTATGGCACTTCCTGGATTGGTATGCCTAATATGAGCAGGAATAGAAAGAAATCAAAGGACTTTATATAGTGAGCAATAAATTATCAAGAAAACAAAAGAAAATTCAGATGTCAGACTAACATTGTATTTGGTCAATGGTTTGCGGGACATAAATCATGAATAGTCACACAACGTAGTTTTGAGAAAAATATGCAAACTAATTTTACATTCAGTATTTCTAATTTTTCAAATAAAGACTACATGATTGTTTAGTTGTAGTCCCACAGGTTGTAGGGTCTGTCACAAGTGTATGTGCTGGCATTGTTTCTGGAGACAATTTAAGAACCATTTATGTCATTAGTCAGTCCTTCAGAAACTAATTTTATACTCTTTCCCTTTTCCACAAAGATTACTACAGGTAATCCTCAGTTTATGACCATAATTGAGCCCAAAGTTTATGTTGCTAAGTAAGATGGTAGTTTCGTGAATTTTGCCTCATATAATGATCTTTCTTGTTGTAGTTGTTAAATGAATCACCACAGTTATTAAGTTAGTAACATGATTGTTAAGTGAACCTAGCTTACCCATTGCTTGTCAGGAAGTCAAAAAAAGCGATCAAAGTGACCCTGGGACATTGCATCATAAATATCAGCCAGTTACCAAGCACCTGAATTTTAATCAAATGAGTATGGGATCTGCTATGGTCGTAACTCTGAAAACTGTCATAAGTAACTTTTTTAATGCTATTGTAACTTTGAATAGTTACTAAATGAAATGTTGTAAGTAGAGGACTACCTGTAATTATAGCATAATCCAAGCAGTTTTCAGCTATAAACTGATTGATTCAAAATCTAGTGTATAACCAGACATAAAAAGTCATGCCACTGTTGCTATACAGCTGAAAACTAGGAAAAACATTTTAGTAAACCAGAAACATAGAAGTGAGAAGAATAAAGCAAATAAGCTCAAAGAAGGGCTAGATTTAGCAGATCACCATCATGCGGTCCTCATTTTTCCTTCAAACGCTCATTATTCTATGAACTGAAAAATGCAACAATTCTAGTTTTAAGAACAGCTTTTGTGAATGTATGAAAGAACACTGCCCAAACAATTTCAGGATGTTAACTTCTGAAAAACATTTATAATCAGTTCTAAAAACTGATTATCTATAAAGAGAAATAAATGAAGTTTTTCAAAAAGGCAGATGAACATGTAGTCAGTGAGTTAAACCTAAGATGCAGAATGGAAAGAATAGACAATATAAAAAAGGGTGTTTTTTTTGTTAACTAGTTCTAGTTGAAAAAGATATAAAACAAGAATGTATATAGTGTTGCCACTTTATATAGCAAATATATCCTATGAATAGCAGAAGAAATGACAGGCAGAATTAAACTTGAAAGTCAAACGCTAACAATTTAAGATCTTACCATAAAATCACTTTATATCTGGAAATAAAAATTTGATTTTAAATAATTCAATATAATCGAGAGAAAAAAATGAAAAATCTAAATTGATGTTTTAAGATTTAGAAAATAATTTACAATTGATGGCTAAGAATGAAGGTAATAGCAATCTTTTCTTGGCTATGGAATAGATTAAGATAGCGAGTACCAGGATAAACAAAGATGAGAGTAACCTAGCAAAGGACCCATTGTGGTGTCAAGGTATTCTACTGGAAGCATAGAGATTCTAGCCAGTCCCTTTCTTCAAAACCCCCTAGGACAGTGTTGGTGAACCTTTTCAACACTGAGTGCTGAAACGGGAGCATGCGCATGTGGGCAGGGAAGCGCTGGAAGCCGGAAGAGCAGCTCCCTGGCGCGGTGCGCACGGGATCGCAGGAAACCAGAAGAGCAGTTGAACTTATGGTTTCTGGCATGTGAGTGCCAACACAGGCATGCACACCAGGGAGCTGCTCTTCCAGTGGGATAGCCTAGCACATGTTTTTCATGTTTGGTATGTATGGCCTGATTATTCAGAGGAATCAATGCAATGACAAACAATAGTGGGGATAGTGAGTCTCCTCTCTTGATGTTAATCTCTTCCATTCTATTACCATTGACCAGCAACCATGTCTTCTATTGTGCCATTGATTTTTGCAGTGCTTCTGATGTTTCTACTGACTCCTGTTATTTCTAGGCACTTGATTATCCAATCATGCAGCAGGGAGTCCAATGCCTTCTGTAATCAATGCATGCTATGTTCAGGTTGGTCTTCCTTCTCTTGTAGTTTTCCAGAATCATCTTGTCAATTAGAAGTTGATCTTTTGTTCCTCTGCTGTTTGGGTGGTTTCCTTTCTGCCTGGGTGGAAAAGGCTTATTGTTTACTAGGTGATGTTGGACTGCATCAGTTACCACACCAGTTAATAAGGTTGTTGGGAAGCAGGTAATTGGCTATAGTTTCCTGGTGCTGTCTCTTTTGTTGGATCTTTCAATATCAGGTAGGTTCTACCAGATGTTAGCCACTCATCAATTTCACCTCCTTGCAGTATGTTGTTATATTTAGATCCATTTAAACCTCGGAATTCAGTTCCAGATTGAAAATAAAATTGTTGACTTCTTTCACTTCAGTAGATAAAAATCAAAGTGACTATTGATAACTCTCTTTATTTCTCCTGCCAGTGCTTATAAAACATCAACTTAGCTGAATTACAGTCCAGTTGCAAGATTTTAAGGTATCACTGAGTTCTCCACTGAGACTGAATGTGTTAATTAAGATTCAGAGAGTCCAACCCTACTAGCCTTCAGTCAACAAAGTGGTGACTGCATTTTTCTAAAGAAAAATAAATACAGTAAAAGGACGCATAACTGACATGCACTCTGATCATAAGTTTTTATTGCAATCTTGTCAAATAAACTTAATTGTTTCCCATCTTTTAAAAGAATTTATTTGGGTTCACCTGAAAAATAGATTCTGAAAGCTCTGTGAGTGGGTTAAAATGTAATAAAGTTTACTTTATTGGTGAAAATTAAGATCTTTTATAACATTAATTTATTTGCCTTATTAAAATATGCTGGTGAAAATTATTTTACATGTACCTTCATCTTTCTTATTTATATTTACTTCATTCATATTCATATTTAAATTCTTAAAATACATGCCATTTAAAGTAATAGCATTCAGAGCAATGCATAGGCAATTATAGTTTTGTTCCCAATAAAATATTAAAAGGTATTATATTGAGTGATGCTTGTGTTTTAAGCAGAGTTATATTTCAAGTTTAATATAATTATTGCATATTCCATATTCACAGATATCAGGATGAAGTTATTTTCTTTAATCCACCATCAAACTTTATTAAGAAAAAGGGGGGGGGGGGGAATCTTCAGCATTGAAAAAATGTTTACTCTTGGCTGTCCCAATCATGCCAATACATTAATCCTCCTAGCCAGAGAAACCTTGATTGTTGATTTAAATCTAATGAGTTAAATGAATTTCCAAGACAGTCTGCTAAGTTGTCTGGACTATAAACAAACAATACAGTTTAATTTTATTTATATCAGAAACATTTGTACTGAATTCACAGTGAAGTTTCAGAAAACAAAACTTAATGCATAATTTGACTGTATTTATATTGTTTTGGTATAAAACATTAAGCAAAAAGCTCATTATTATATCTAGTTGGCATAAATATTAAATAACTACTGCTAGGTAATAATATAAGAATAGAAACTATAGACAGCATTTGGGCAGAATGCAAAATTAAGCTAACAAGTAAGCTGATATGAAGCTCAAAGCATTTTCAGTCTTTGAAAGATCTGAACATCAGTGTGATCAGGCTAACTTAATTTATGCAAACCACAGCTCAGTGATTATCTAATCATTGATTTGTGGTATTTTCTTCCCAAATTTCCCTTATTCATCAAGAGCATTTGCAATGGTGAGTGAAAAGCTAGTTAGACCATGGAAATGTTATGCAAATGGTGTAGCTAGATGT